AAAAAAACAGCAGAAATGTTTAAAACGTTTTCTATTTTAGCTTAAAAAAATGTTGCGTACACATCCCCAAAGTGCAAGTTTTCGGAAAAAAATACCATTGCCGAACTATAGAACTGTTAACATTTCTCAAGATACAGAATGATAACTCCACCTACTGGCCTGGCAGAATACATCGTTTTTTTTTTTTTTTGTAGTTTTCGCAGATCAGTGTAAAAAGGATTAATTTTGATTACGTTGCCCTTAGTACAAAAAAAAAAAATTGTGGAAAAATTCTTTTAATACATACTTGTCATGGAAACATACCTTTTTGAAAATTGTTTATAACAGTTCATATTTTTAAGGCCACGGTAAATAAACAGAAGATATGTTTAAAACATTTTCTATTATATTTGAAAATAGCGCTGCATAAACACCCCCAAAATATGAGTTTTTTTAAAACCATGTCATTAGTGAATTACAAAACTCTTTGCATCTCTCAAGATACAGAGTGATAACGCCACCTATTGGCCTGGCCAATAGTTTTTTTTTGGTAGTTTTCGTAGGTTAGTGTGAATAGGAATCATTTTGGTACTGGCATCTTGATGGAAAAAATGCAATGGAAAACAACTTGTATTCATAGTTGTCATAAAAACATGCCTTTTAAAAAATAGTTTATTACGGTTCATGTTTTCAGGTGGTTGTTAAAAAAACTGCAGAAATGTTAAACGTTTTCTATTTTATTTTTAAATAGTGTTGCATAAATGCTTCATAGTTGGTAGTTTTCAAATATTAGTGTGAATTGCATTTATTTTGATAACCTTGTCATCTCTACAAAAAATGTGGGAAAAAAATATTTTAATACATAAAAACATACCTTTTTGAAAGACATTTATTATTGAGGTTTATGTGTTTAAGTCAACGGTAAATAAACAGCAAAACTGTTTAAAACGTTTTCTATTTTAGCTGAATATAGTGTTGCGTAAACCTCCCTAATGTGCAAGTTTTCAAAAACAGTGCCAATGCCGAACTTCAAAACTGTTTGCATTTCTCAAGATACAGAATGATAACGCCACCTACTGACCTGGCAGAATACAGCGTTTTTTTTTTTTTGGGGGGGGTAGTTTTCACAGATTAGTTAGAAATAATAACCATTTTAATAATCTTGCCTTCTGTAGGTAAAAAATGTGTACAAAAATTTTGTCCCGTAAGCATACGTTTTTGAAAATCGTTTATAAAGATTTGTGTTTTCAGTCCCATATTAAATAAACAGCAGAAATCCTTGAATTTTTGTTAAAAATTGTGTATAAACACCACCAAAGTATGATAATTTTGAAAACAATACCATTATCGAACCTCAGAACCATTTGTGTTCCTCAAGATACAGTTTAATATCGCCACCTACTGGCCTGGCATGCAGAAAACAGCATTTTTAGGCATTTTTTACGGATGCGCCTGAGAACATGAAGGAAAACTAATCCGTTTGTT